GATTGAACAGTAAGGTCGGGGGTAGGAACTGGGAGTGAAGAAGAGCCTTAGAACAAGGATTAAAAGCCTGAGCAGAGGCTGGCATTGAACACTAGCAGAAAGGATCAGATAGTCACAGAGTAGATATGATCGGACTCCTAGATGTTTGCTTCTCATTGTCAAGGAGTCTCTCTTGTTCCTCTTCCTATTCCTGCTCCATAGCAAAACCACGCAATGAGTATTAGCAACAATTAAAAGTAGCAACAAAACTAATTAAAAATACTTCCCGTATTAGTTACTGTACTAACTAAAGCAGCAGACACCTCTGCCATGAATCTCAAGCTTCTAACTCTGCAAATGAAGTGCATAACGCCGTTTGGTTTTTCCAGAATCATTTGTAATTGGTGGGAAGTTGCACATAACATACACTACATCAAAAAACAAATACTGCATAAAAGATGGTATGCAAAACCTCCTGTAAGAACTTTCATTCTTCCCCTTATGCATACACATTAAGGTAAAGTTCTTAATTACATGATCACACAGTTTTTCACCTGGTCCCTATGTCTTTTAGTGCACACGTTCACACTGACAATGAATTGGAGGTGTACACAAAACCCTTAGACCACTATTGTCAGGACTCTGGCCACTCTTACCACAGAAACAGAAGGATGAAAGAAAGGCTGGGAAGAGATGAAAAAGAAAGCCTGGGCTGGAAATGAAGGTCTTCTGTCTTGTGGTTTACGTTACTGTAGTGTTGCCCCGGGATCTGGATTCTGGCCTTCCTCAGCATCATAGGAAGATTCTGTGACAAGGAAGTCAGTAACAACATCTTCCCAAGACTGCTGCAGATCTTGTGTTTTCTCTGCCTCCAGGGGTCAAACTTGACTATTTTATAAGTGCTTTAAGGCTTCCAGCTGCCTCTGAGGTCAGTGAGCACATTGCCTTGAACTTAAAACATGTGTAAAATGCCAAATACTCCAAATAAAGTCTTAAAACATGTACCAAATATTCACCAATATTCTTGCTTTTAATCTGTTCTGATAAGGCTGAGTTTATTCAATCTCCCTTATTTCAGAGATAATGTAAGAATAAATTAACTGATACTATGGGAGTCACTGGTGTAAGCTGCCAAGGAAATCAACACTGCTTCTAGAGCAGGGTTTGAGTGCGATGCAAATACAGTGTAAATAAGATGTTGAAGGAAATCTCCATGTAGTAGTAAGATATTTGTTTTGAGGGGTGAAATACAAAATAATTTTGCTCTATTCTTTTTGCAGGCCAGACACTTTTTCCCTGTGCCTTCTCAAGCACTGTAACAACAGGCAAAAAGCTGCAAAACAAGTCAGATTAAGAAAAGCTTTATCACAATCCACTGTCTACTGTTGAAACACTTCAAACACTTCACATTATGATTTCTGTTTTAATTACTGTACCTTCTGTGACTAAGACTTTTGGAGTTAAAATTCATAACCAGATCTCCTTGAGAATCACCGAAAGATAAAGAAAATACTCCTGATTCCAGGATGCAAATCCTCCTTGTACCCATTACAATAAGCCCCAAATAAAAAATGATTCACAGGGCTTGCAGTGATATGGTTAGAGGACAGGGAATGAGCCAATGAGTTGTCATAACCCATCTATGGCTTAATTGCTGTGTAAATCTCTTTATGACAAGTCGAAAGCAAGGACACCAAGCACATTTACTGGCTTATAAAACATACAAGTCACCCTGCCCACACCCTTACTATCAGCAAACTGGAAAGAGCCAATCTGACCACTCTTCCTTCTGACAGATTCAAGTTAGGCTGCTGCTCTTGATCACAGCAGATCAGCCTCATCAGCACCAGCAGCCCAAGGACTGAGCTGCTCACAACATGGGTAAGTCCTGGCTGTCCCAGCAGCACACTCTCTTCTAAGAAGCACTGCCTCTCTCTCTGACAGAAAGGCAGCAGGAAGGGCAGCAGTGGGATGTCAGGGCTGACATCCCCTCTGGGCTCCCACATCGACTACAATGACCTACATCTACTCTACTGTTAATCCCTGTAGCTTCCTGCAGTACCATGCTGGTTTGCTACTCTTCACACAGTGCAATTAGGAAGAGAGATCACCCTGCTGTATACCAATTGTTGATACCACTAACATTTTTCAATCTTAGATTCAAAGGAGACAGGAATCTTTCCTCCTTTAAGTTTTTATGCAGCCAGTACATAGACACATACAATGTTACTGTCAAAGCAAAACAACTCTGCTGCCATAAGTGACAGAATAAACTTTACGTATTCACGCCACTTCCTCCAGGAAGCTGCAGGAATGAGATGTTATCAGAAACATTAAAAAGGCAGAAATACAGATCTAAATTAATCCCAAATAATTTTTATAGTAAAATTCATATTAAAGGGATAATCTGCAGTGGGCTATTGTGTTAAGTGTAATAGTTAAAGAATGGAGACATTACTGCACATAAAGTCTCAGTTTCATTCTGTTTATAGTTCAGATAAGGCCAGCAAGTTTCCCAGAAAAATACCTCACTCTCTCATCCTGCAAACTCAGTGTTTGTTCTGAAAATTTGCAGATAAACCCATGTCTTCACCTTCATTTGCTTAATAAAGCAATCACGTCAATTACTGAAGTTTACTGAAGAGAGAAGGGCAATATAACACAGTATTGAACCTGCCCTTGTTCAACACAGATCACAAGTTCTCTCCCAAGGAAGGAGCTCATCACATCTTCCTCCAGCTTGCTCACACATTGACTGGCTACTAGTAGGAATGAAGACAATTCATTCCACCACGAGTACAAACCTGGTAAAACACAAGCCATCTTCTCAAACAGTAGCCAAAAGCCACAGTCAAGAGTTGAAAATTTTGGTGGCAATTTTTGCTATGGTTATTATCTTAACCTTATTATCTTATCTTTGGAACAAAGCAAACTTAGCCAGCCAGCAAGGCAAACATTTACCCAAAAGGAGAGTCATTTGCCCAGCAGATTTAAAGTATATTTTCTCAGTACAATAATCTACTAATAAAATTCACAAGTACCCAGGCATTTAAGGACAGGTTTTTTCATCTACTTCCCTTCCCAAACAAAACAAGCAAGTGCATACATCACCTCAAAAGATTTAAAAAAAAAAAAAAAAAACCAAAAAAAACCAACCCAAAAAACCCCAATGAAACTGGAAAATAAACCCCAAGAAGCTGCAAAGATCAGACTATAGCTAATGACTTAAACTTTTATCCCGACAGCTTCCAGTGTATCCCACACAGATACTCTACCTCTAGTGCTAAGAACCATGCAAATATAACACAGCCATTAGTAAATTCTTAGGGTTTGCTTTGTTGTCTTAAATAATCCTTACTACTTCCTGTGGCCACTGATGAGTTGCTATTGCAGTGAAATCAGGCACTTCTCCAGCGGGTGCATTTCTAAACAACTGACATTCAACAATAGATAATATTGAAGCATTGGCAGGGCAGCTCTGCCGAATTACATACAATTATGTAGAGCTTTGAACAAAGGCATTCACAGAGGCCTCAGGAAATTGATTTTCATATGACTAGCCATCACAGCACGTTAGGATAAATGCTGCAGGCACAGAGTTCTCCTTAGTTACTTTGGTTCCCTGCAGTAGCTCTACTTCCCCACTCCATGCGAAAATATATCCTGAACTGAAAAAAGAAGGGGAACACCAAGTTATCTTTTCAGTTATTTTTACACATCTCTGATCTGCATGGCCCAAGGTGACTGAAATGCAGATTTCCGAGTGTATCATGTCAAAGTGCCATGACTTCAAGTCTGAACATTTTTCATAAATTGGATATTCTTTATTGAATAATTCAGCACTTTCCACTCAAAAGGACACCCAAGGAAGTATTTTATGACTTCACTGAAATACTCCTTTCACATACCAGTTGTAGTATTTTTCCCCTTGGCTAAATGCACATTCTTCATCTGTTTAACATTGCACTGAGGTAGCTTTAAAAAACCCTAAAATGGGATGGAAGTCTAGTAGTCACTCACATTTGCAAACAAATGGTGCTGTAGTTTTGTTTTTAAAAGCTGTTTCTAATCTTAAAAAACAGTTCCTTTTAGGCTAAGATAACATTCTGCTAGCTGCTATTGACTGAAGTGACTTTATGAAGTCCTCCCTAGAACAGTTTTGGAGTACTTTCACATTGCAAGGCCCTAGTGAGCTTAAACTAGCTCATTAGCTCCAGACAAGAGGACAGACAGGACAGCAAAGCCCTCAGCTCAGGCTGCAGTGGATGGCAAGACCCAGTGTGAATACTGGGGCAACTTCTTCATGGGAGCTTAGTGCTCCTCTGTCAGTATTCTAGCTGAGCTTGAATTAGCTACTTCAGCCAACTAAATTCAGTCAAGTTGTCATCAAAGCAGTGCAAAAAAATCTATGTCCATTGAAAACTCTGCCACTGAAACATCATTCTGGAAGAAATTTTGAACTTTCAAATTTTAGGTAAATGGTTTTGACCTTACTGACTTTAAAAAGGAAGGAAATATAAACCAGGATTGTGAACAACACAGTGATGAATTAGTAATGAAAAGTCACTATTCCTACAGAAGATGATTTGTGAAATTCATGGGGAAGGGAAACCAAGGAGATTTTAAAGTGCATTTGCAGTAATCTCCTCAATTTGGGTTCTTTGTATGATTAACCTTTTCCAAATGTTAGATTGTTATGCTTAATTATCCAGGGATTTAAATACTTCACTGAGCCATAATACAGAACTAAAAAACTCTGCAGCTGCTTTCTGAGAAATCCTAATCGGAACTCATTTAAAGAATGACCTGCCTTCAGGAGAGTTATCTCTCTAGTTCCATACAAACTATCAACATAGTTTGAGGAAAGTTTTAATCCTATAAACTCTATGACAATTTGTTTCTCAAAATGTCTTAGATCATACCTTATAGAACAGCAGTTCTCTGCTGGAAGGAAGAGAAAGAACCAAACAACCAGTTATAATATCTTCATTAAAAAGTTCCCTTAATTTTATAAATGGTACCTTGGATGTAAGGTCTCGGTGGAAAATGCCTTTATAGTGAAGATAGCTGATTCCCATAGCAATATCATATGCCAGTTTCACCCTCACTGTCCAGGGCAGATGCTGGTTACTGTCTAATAGTTGTTCCAGGTTACCACAGTTGATGTACTGAAAAGACAAAGCAACATTACTAATTAATTAACTTTATATATTGTCAGGAATGTAAAATTCACTGTTACACAAGTGTCCTCAGCTCAGCTACACATTAAAAGCTTTTTTTTCCTCAAGGGCTAGGCAGGCACAAAGTCTGCAGGTCAAGAGAGTCTAAAGATGTCTCCCTTCTCTGACTGTACCAAAACATTTACATTAAAGATGCATGCAACAGCCACCACGGCATTAACTGTGGTATTTAAATACTGGTATTTATATGGACCCTTCAGAAACATCTATAATACAGTATCGCCCTCTCATTTCAGTGTGAGGAAAAGAAGGTCAAAATGGATGAAGAGTTGGCTCCTACACAGAGTAAGTCAACAAAGAAAGGTCTAAGTATCCAGGTGTTAAAGAGCATGATCAAGTTCCCAGATATCAATTCCCTAAACTGAAGCAGCATCAAAGAAAATATTGCAACACGTTGCATTACGCTACATTTTTGCACTGCTATATCTACAAGTCCTAATCAGCAATCTGATTCAGCACTGCATCAACCCCATCAAATGGTGGCCCTCGTGAAAAGAAACCTACATTAAGATAAATTTTACAAAAGACAGTGAAACAAAACAGCACCCAAATAATACTAAGTAATATAACCCAGGCTTAAGACATAGCAGCTCCACTGCTCAAATGCTCATTACAGCAACAGTGGGCTTATGTTTTATGTAGAGACCCTTCATACCACAACAGCAGCTATACTGTGCTTGACTACCTTCTTGTTTCATTCCCAGGTATGCCATCAGCAACAAAGCAAAAAGACAGCTTGCTCCGGAAGGAAAACCTGGCAGCAATGCAGTGACTTCTGTCAAGAAAATCCCAGCAAAGCAGACAGGATGATTTGGTCCCAAGCCTGGTCCAAGCATGTAACAGTGTGGCAGGCTGCGCCAACTGTGCTCCTTCGTGCCAGATAGCTCTCCAACTCTCTCTCTAGAGGCTTTGCACTTCCCTGTGTCATTCACCTGGACAAAACATGTGCCACCATTATCACGTTAAAATAAAAACCATAATTGCAGGCCTTGGTATCTCAGAATCTTTGAACTCTGTTGTATTTTGTTGAGCTTCTCAGCACCCTAAAGCCTGAAGCACAGGCAAATATGATCTACTCACAGTGTGGGTGCAGCTGATGTATTCAGACTATGCTATGGTAAAGAAAGAGCATACATAAACCCGACTCTACCAGTAAGTTGATGGGTCAAGGCTCACCTGGACAGTCTACAAAACCCAGCTTCTTCCTTAGTTAGTCCCTATCTTTTTCTGAGCTCACCTGTTAATTCTGAAAACCTTTTTCAGCACATAAATAGTTCCTTGTGAAACTTGTGTAGCAAGGCTAAGTTGTTTGGGCAGATGAGGCACAAACTGCCACAAAGCAGTGTGGGGCTCCACAGGTCCCCTCAGCTACATGGCACATCCCTCGGGAGCTGGGTTCTTCCCAGCCCCAGAACAGCAGTGCATTCCACTGGCATTCCAGGACATGACCTTTCTGTCTCCAAAACAACCTGTCCCATATGCGAGGAGCTCATGAGTTAGGAGAGCAGAGCAGCTCTGGAACAGGTCATTCCGAGTCTATGTGATCTCCATCCTTGGAGATTTTCAAGAACAACTGGACAGAGCTGCAGCCAACGTGGCTCAATGCTGGAAACAATGCTGCTTTGAGCTTTTCCAACTTTGATCTTTCTTTCTCCTTGCTTTTATTTGAACCCCTAAGGGAGTCAGATGACCTCATAAAGCACTCAACCTCACACACACTGCTCAATATAATTATTTATTTTTTTTTTTAATCACAAGATGCGAGCATCTTAAGGAAAAAATGGTGAATAAGATTTCTACAATAACTGCTTCTATATTCTCAGCCTCCTTGGAACACTGTGAGCAGCACTTCTCATCCAGTTATGTTCAAATCAGAACAATATTGACCAACCTGGAACAGAAGGCACTAAAGCTCAATAACCCGATTATAAAGTGACACATCAATTATCTCAAACCATTTCACCTTTCTGACTGGGCAATAATAGACCATTCATACAGCACTACCATACTTTAATTCATTGGTAAGAGAATGCAAAGGGGGAAGGGAATTGCTGGCTTGGCTTTCCACTTTGGTTAGGGTCAAACTGTGCCATACCATGACAGTAATTGCTCTAGAAATGCTTATAAATAAAGCAAGCAACCCATAAGACAGTATTGGCATACACACTGAACTGTGACAATAGCTAGCTACTATTTTAGGCATGCTTGTACTTTCCTTTTCAGTAAAGCAGCCTACTGATTTCATCCACTGCTGCCATATTAGTTAAGGGTATTTAATTCTATTCCCCCAGCACCCTTCCTGTCACATAGGCTTGCAGGGTAGGGTCATTCACCCATCTTGACTCCAAGGACTGGATTCTAGCAAGGGCTGGGTGAAAACTGGCACATATGTAGGACACAGCATGCATGAGCTGCAAGGGCAAGGCTCGAACTTGACTAGCACATAACACAAAACCCACTAGGCCTCCTGTCCAAAATTGCCACCTAGCAGACTCATTCATTGGAGATGTGAGTTCTGTTTTCAGCTCTAATTTCTAGTGTATTTCTATGAAGCACAGCAGGATAATCATCAAGCGATGAACTGAACTAAGAGTTTCCTACAGACATCTTTTAAGACTCCAGCTGATCTCAGATTTTAGCTGGCCAGCAGGTAACATTTGCCTGCAGACTACTGAATTGTCCCTAAGGCAAGCACCACACAGAGTTCAGTGCTCCCTCATGTCACGTAAGTAATCCAGTTCTTCCAGTCATTCAGGCTGATAATGCAGACAGACAGCATGATGGCCTATTTTTTCAGAGCTCTTCAACAATGCCTTTTCGTACCAGACACAAAATTATGTACATTATTTCCTAATGGCCAGTGCAACCAAAAGAAAAATGTTTGTTCTCAATCTCTTACTAGCACAAACCAGCTCTGTGTAGTAAAAATATCCTAAAGGATAGTACATGCACCTCTCCCAAAGAGAATACTGGATTTTGTTTTGTCCCTGAAGCATCTCAGTGCTGGTACAGTAAGGCTACAGTGCACACATCTCAAAGCATTATTCCACTACAACAACAGCCATTGCATAAGTGTACAAGCAATTGAAGCAGAGATCCGATCGGGCAATGACAATGAAAGCAAAGGCCGCTGCGTTTCATAAAGAGACCTCACAGCTAAATGGAGCAGTGTTCAGACCTTTTCAAACCCTGTATCATCAGGTTGCAGTGAAACAGCTACCCATTATTCCTCCTGCTAGCTTTTTGTCATGTAACAGGACACCAACACTCAGTTTATCTCGTTGCCAGAATCTGAAAGTAACAGCGTCAGGTTGTTGATTTTTGCATTTATTACCACTCAACACAGTAAATTTGACACTGGTTTAAAGGACCTGGCATTTTAGCCCACAAAAACATTCTCTCCTATAAAATTTATCTGTGGTAAGAGTTCAGGTTTTTGTTACTACAACCGAAGATCAGCAAAATTTACTTCTTACACCTCTCCCAAACCTTCTAAGGAAAGAGGGCAGCAGCTTCTTTGAAGGACAAGCTACCCAGAAGCTCAGCCAAGCGTAGGTGCTTTCTGGATCAAAGAGCCTTGAAGAGGCTTCTGATGTAATAGCTTAATGCTACAAAATGCAAAAGCAGCAGTATATAACCCTTTCCCACACAACAGTCAGGGCACAGGGGACCATGCAATTTTAACCTAACAACAGCCCGACAGGACTGCTTCCTTGCAAGACATTTGCAGCCACATTATCAAACTCAAGCATATGAAATGAGGAATGGAATGAAATTCAGAATATAATGGTACTTACATGTACGATTATATGGTTAATTTCAGGATACTAATACTAAACTTCAGCTGTCAGATTTTAGCCTTCCAAATTTAAAACAAAGGTTTGAACACACTAATATGAGAACTAGAAGCTTTTAAAGAAAAGGCTCATCAGATTCACATGATGTGATTCCAGCAGTTATTGCTCAACAACAAAGACTTCAAATATTGCCAACTCTGTGGGGGAAGACTGAAGGGAATTGCAAAGAGTTCTCAATGCTATTTTGAAAACAAATACTCCTTCAATATGTAGGTCTAATATAAATAAGCCACCAGATACTGCACAGGAAAGCCAGAAAAAAAGTTGGCCCGCTATTTTCTCAGCTTTAAATGTCACTGCTTGCCATTTAAGAAGCAACAAATAACCACAAGACACCCCTATACAGTTGCCCAAATGTTGCCAAAAGTGGCATTAAGTGGTTAAGAAAAGTAAGTGTGGAGAGACCAAATAAGGTGAGTAAAGAAGAAGAGTTCTTGGGACCCAGAACACTACAAGACAAACATTGAGATAGCAGCAAACAACTACAGAAAAAGCCCAATGAAGAAAACAGGCAGAGAAGCAGGAGAAAAGAGAAAGCGGAGTCGTGGCTGTAGTGCCTTCAATGTGGTGAAGTAAGAGAGATGTCAGAACAAAAGCCAGAATACATAGTTGGACTCTAGTTGGAAAGAAAAATAACAACATTGCAGACACTGGTGACACATGCATTGAAGCAGTGTCAAAAGAGATAGAGCTTGCATATTTGTATTGTTTCTAATGCTGAAAGTAAGAAGGTAACTGTCATGTCTAATAAAGTTGAGATCTTTACACTCAGCTATCTGCAGAAGTCAAAAAAAAGTTTTAAACTACCCATTCCAAGGAGGACACAACCCACCCTTCAGCTCTCATATGTTCAACAGTCATCTGTCACACTCAGCACTAAGTAACTACTCTGAAGGCTTCTGGCTGCAAGACAACAAGGCAATGTACCCTTCTGCCACAGGGGACATAATTAGCTACAGTGGGAGGACTGGAAGTTTCCTCATTTTCCCCAGTTTTTTCATTAGCTTCAACTGTTCAGAACTGGAAAAGAAAGACAGTATCAGTATGTTCAAAACTACAATACGAGATACT